AAGGAGCGAGACGATGGGGGCTAATGGCATTAGGGTTAAAAGGCCAAATTCCTGTTGCTCTGAATGCATTAGCTATCATTGCAGGAATATAAGTTTTAATAAATGCGAGACCAAGCATTTTAGCAAATGTATGCTTAGTCACCAACTCATCGCCAATTACGAGATGAAGTTCATCGCAATTTTTACTATATTCAGTTTTAAGTTTGGCGAAAGGAAGTTCAGATGGTTGAAGAATATGCATTGTATGTGGTGGAAGAGCATATAGTAAAACTCTATTTTCATGACAATAACTAACACTCATATAATTTATATAGCTGCTATGGCCATCAAGCATTAAAAGAACAGGACGACGAGGAGGAATTGAACTTACAAAATGTTCTATATACATTTGGAAAAGTTCTTCACGCATATAACCCGAGTTGGTAAAACCTATAACTGTACTAGATGGAGCACCATTTAACAAACCAGGATTTGCATGAACACCTTTGTATATAATTAATAGAGGAATATAATCACCAGAAGCCGAAATCATCAGTACAACAGAAATGTGATTGTGTAAGTTACCATAAGCAACCTTATGAATTTGGCGGGAGCCTTTGGTGGCAATAACCTTTTGAACCTTGGGAGCTATCATGAAGCCGGTTTCATTCTTATTCCAGATACGATCTGTATATGTATTATGTAATTTTTGTAATACTGTGATTTCCGACATTAATTCGACCCTATCCGATGTGCGTCATAATACCCCCCAAATGTAAAAAACATAGCATTTTATGGGTAGATTTTGGAAGCTCATATTTTTATAATTTTTTTTTTAAAGACGATTTTTTTTTTTATTGGTTGATAGGTAATTACCTGAGCAATCTATTTCTACAAATTTTAAGAACGAATAAATTTTTACTGAAAAGTTTTATATGAGCAATGCTTAGGTGCGTCATAATACCCCCCTCCCTTATGTCGAGGGTATTGTATTGTTATAAAGGAACAATAATCCATATCACACGTATGATCAAAAATTCGGATTCAGAAATTATGTATGCGTGACCTATTGTACGACAATCTGATTGTTTGTATAAACTATAAAAAGGTAGAATGTACGACTATTTTTTACTAAAAAATTTTTTCGCTTTTGTACCACTTTTCAGCAACACAGAAAATAAACAACTATGTCTGATGATACTTCTCTTCCGTCAGTCGAAGAAGTTAATCAATGGAGCCCGCAACAAGTTATTGAATTTCTGGAGTCTTATAATAGAGAAAAAAAGTTATTTCTTGAAGATGGAGACATTAAAGCAATTAAAGATAACCGTGTCCGCGGTCCAGCCTTTCTTAAGCTGAATGTGGATAAGCTTATAGCTCACCCTTACAATCTTCCTGGTGGACCAGCCGAAACAATTGCAGAGTTGATTGATAAAATTAAGGGCGAGGACCAGGGTAAGTAGTACTGTTGCATCTAAAGTAGCGATTTATCTAAAGTAGCTACTTTAGATATATAAAGTAGCGCCTGACTAAAATTA